GTGTGTGTGTGTGTGTGTGTGTGTGTGTGTGTGTGTGTGTGTGTGTGTGTGTGTAGAGAGAGAGCCACATAGACTGAGCCCCAACACAGAGCATGCCTCTGCGTCCGGCAGCCGGCAAACATGAGCCACCCAGCTCTCCACGGCAGGACCAGCAGCAGCACACACACACTCACACACACACACCACCTTACACACACGCAGCAAACGGCAGCCAGGGGGCCGGCTCTGACAGCAGCAGCTCCCGGGAAGAGGACAGCGGTGCTCCCGTCGCTCACGGCGTTCCGGCTTTCAGTCCCAGTGGACAGCGTGGCCACAGTGTACGAGCACCCATGGAGGAGCCGACAGGCAACACTGTGGTGATCCGCATTGGAATCCCAGACCTACAACAGACGGTAAGAGCTTTTTTTTTTTCTATTGCTGCTGCTGAAGAGTGTAAAAGAGAGGGAAGCTGCCTCTCCCCCCTTCCTCACTGACAGGCTGCTTTCAACCTGTGCTCTCTGCTTGATGAATGGCTCTTTATTTCTCTTAAACAAATCTTTCTCTTCTCTCTTTTTGTCTGTAAAATCTTTCCTCGGTCCATTTTTTTTCTCTCCATTTTATCTCCTCCTCCCTATTTGTTGTCAGTGTGTACACTTCATAGCTACGCTGGCTGGCTTCTTGGGGTTCCACACCCCCTGCCTGTTCAACCGGCTTCACGCTAATTAAGCTACCTCTTCATTAACAAGGTTTCAGCTGACTTTGACAGCTAGCTACTTAGGGTGAGAGCTGAAAGAAAAAAGAGAGAAAAGGCATTAAGGATAAAAGCGTTTATTGAAGAGAAAAAAAGATGATTAAACTTTACCTCAAACCTGTCTTCTTATCTCTGCTGTTGCTGTGTCAGGACAGAATAAGTGCAGTCTTGCATTCTTTTAAAGCTGCAGATTTTATGAAGATGTACGCCTGCCTGTGTAGAGTTGCATTCATTGTAAAAATGCAAATCAGTTAAGATGACAGTTTTACACATGCAAAATGCATTCAACATCTTTTTACAAATTCATTTTGACCAAATATTTCTTCCTCAGTCCTCAGTGTGGTTGCTGCAGAAGGTGGTTTGAATTACTTGCAACATAATTAATGAGTTAATTTTATTAGGCTTTGAATTTAGCCACTTTATTCCATATGGATTTAGCAGTGGCTTTTTGAGCAGCACAAAAAAAGGCATTTTGCTAAACCAGTACAAGTATATAAAATAGTCAGCCCTCAGACTTAAAGGTGAAGCATTTTGCAGTTACAGGTTGAAATGATGGTGAGCAGAGACTGAATGATCTGATCTGTATTAAAATCAGAGAAGGTAAAATACGTGTTCTTTTATTTGCTTCACACCTAAATAAAGTGTTCAATTTAACCTAATCTTGAGCCCGTGCACTCTGTTCTTGCTGTTTTGCTTTTTCATCTCAAATGTTAGACATTTCACGAGAAACATTCTCAACTTCTCTCACAAAACGCTGATTAAACCTGTAATAGCTTGCCACTGTAATTCTTATGCTCACTTAAATCAGCTTCCTGTAGGAGGTCTGGTTTGAGTGCCCTCTTATTCCTTCACCAAATGCAGGCAGAGGCAAAAGGCTGGTTGTGCGTTTTCTTATTGTTGATTACTTCATTGTTGTTGTTTGAAACGACCCATTGTATCATAGCGAGGCTCCAGCTCTGCGTGCCAGAAATAAAGATAGGAAATGAAAGGAGGGCAGTTGAGAGGAAAGCAGAGAATTCCCCGAAGGTTGTTTAGAAATCGCCTTCTGTGAGCAAAGTTGTTTTGTAGTCCAACTCCACACACTCACACACGTCTTAATCCCACTACAAGGGGGACTTACCTTAATGTTCTTATGTAATGTAAAGATGCTCAACAGATCATTAGCTTCACTCTCGAGTGAAATTTTGCCAAATTAAACTGGCAAACGTGTGAGAATCTATACGATGTGAAATGTTGACAGGCAGACAGAGCAAGTGCCTCAAAGTCTGACAGATAAACATAACGACAGATGACAGATGGCCAGATTCTGAGACTTTGAATCTTTTATGGAGCAGTCAAAAGTGACTTGTGTGTACACTGAGTGAGAAGGAGATTACTTTAGAACAGCCTGCCTGAAGTAGGATTACATATTGCCTGCTGCGATTCCAGCTTGCTTCAGAAGAAAGAAGCGTCGTGCTCAGATCACACTGGGAAACTCTTTACGTTTTCAGCATGAGAGAAGGGAGAAGCACAGACTCGTGAGGTGAAGCCAGTTTATTAAACAGTCTTATCATCTTACTTCCTGTACTCTCTAGTCTGCTCCTTTACAGTAACAACTGTGCTTCAGCATCTAATGTTTCACCTTGTGAATGTGTTATCATGGAAACTAATGCTAATGGAGACCCATAGAGTAGTAGTACTAACACAAAGGTAATTTTCAGTCCAGTGGTTGGTGTTTACATGCCGGAAAGACCTTGTTGATGATCTAGAACTTATTAACAAGATGGAAATTAACACATCAGTGACAAGACAGGAAGTTTGGTCTCTGGTGAACATTCAGCCGTTTTTAACACTGTGGCAGGTGCTGTTTTATCCTTAGTGAATCTCTAGTTCATGAAGCTGCTTTTGGTTATATGTGGTGATAATCCATGAGTAACTATTGCCTGCTGCTGAAGAGCTAAACTAGAAAATAAGATTTTACCTCTTTGTATGTACACTGCTCAAAAAAATAAAGGGAACACTACTGCTCAAAAAAAAATAAAGGGAACACTTAAACAACGCTCGCTAAGTCCAAGTAAATCAAACTTTTGTGAAGCACATTCAACTCTGTACAGAACAAAGTACTCAATGCGAATATTTCATTGATTAAGATTGGGAGTTAGCGTGCGTTAAGTGTTCCCTTTATTTTTTTTTTGAGCAGTAGTGTTCCCTTTATTTTTTTGAGCAGTGTATATCTGCAACTGATTATCTTTTAGAGTCAATTCAAGTCAAGCTGAACACTGCAGCTAATGCACAATATCCAACACAAAAATGGCTTTGTTTTGGTCAGTTTTAAAGATATTGATCTAAAATTTGATATGGTAGAAGCTGAGAGTCATTCACAACACATACTTTACGCATGACATTTGTGACTATAACTTCTGTAAATTCACTACGTAAAATGATCTTAGTGTAAAACTTTGGCAATATGCATTGCTCCAACAATGTAAGACTTTCAACAATTATTTCTAGTAAAAGGCAATATACTAGCCTGGTAAAAACCAGCCCCTTGTTCTTCGCTTTGCTTCATACAGATGGTCTGGACTCTCAGCTATTGAGAAGCGATTGCTTCCTGGAGACGTGGCCTCTGTTGAAGTTTAAAACGATTAGATCTGATTTACCCAATCACTAGCGGTTGGCCGCGATGCATGTGTGCCAGCTTCACTGTGAAGGAGGCTAAGCTAAGAAGCTAACCGGAAATTGCATTCGCTCTGTCAACAACATCCCCTACTGAGCTGAGAGAAGTACTGAGCCAAACGAGATGGCTGTAAATAAGTCCTGCAGGCTTTGTGAGACAAATTGTATTTCATTTGGAAGCCTTGTCAACACAGACTGGCTTCATTCACTTTCTCTGTTGCCATTGCTAAACTACACGCAGAAAATCGACATTGTCATTCAAAACCCCTCCTTCTGTTCGCTGATTCGCCCAGGTAAAATTCTACCAAAGAAATCCTTGTCTTTGGGAGAAATCCAAGACAGAGCAGTAAAGGGTAAATAGAATTGAACGGAACTGCATAGGAAGGCAAGGGCCAGGCTAGCAATATACTAATTTGATGTAACAAAGTCCAACAAATGTTGCATTATATAAAGCTGTTTCTCAGTCTGTAACAAACTAGTGTCTTAGAAATAAAAATTAATACGGCTGCATTAGTTATTGATACAGTTTGCGGAACTGAGGTATTGTGCAGGTTATTTGTATGAAAATAGGTCTTTAGAGATAATAGGTATTTTGTATCATTCGTCATATTTTTCCCCACCAAACCTGATTGGAGCAAAATAAGACAGCTTCCCAATATTGTTAATGGGTGTCATTCATCTCTCAATAGAAGACAGGGAGACACGGACATAAATAGTCCTCTGCACATCTGTCACTATTTGATTTAATCCATATTCTCTATTTTTCCCATTCTTGATGTGTTTTTTTGGGGTGCATTTTCTCTTTTCATTCATTCACAAATAGCATTTTGTTGTGAGGTATGCGGTAGAACTGTTCGTTGATGATGTGTCTGTAAAATAAAATACCTTACAATGTAGAAAAGCCAATGTCCTCTCCAAGTCTAATTGTTCTGTTGTGGATTTGTTTGTACTGAATAATAAATTTATTTTAATTTATTTTAAAGATGGTTTTGAACTTTTGAACCTCAGCTCTAAATGACCAACTATTTATTGAGGTTCTTACAGGATCTTTCCTAAACTCAGAACATATTTTTCACCTTAATCTGGAATTCAGAGTGTAATTCAATAGGACCTATGAAAAGTTCAAAGGTGAACTTTGCAGTCAACTTATGCTCCTTTGCTTGTACTGCAATAAAGGCAGTTGGGTTTTAGAAAGGATCCCATGCGCTCTGCAAACACATCTCCCATCAGAAACAGCCATGAGATGATATCTGGGCTGTTTATTTTCAGGTGCCATTTTACTGATGTACTCTTGGACGCCTCATGTTTCATTCATAATACAAGCCCTGACACCTATTAAGCTCCTCTCCCTCTCCAGCTGAGAACTGTCTATAGATGATGGATTTGGATAAAATTGTGTTTAAATTGCAATGTTGTGACAATGTTGTGATGCTCCTGTTAGCAATGACAGGACTTCATTTAATGTTACAGATTTTTTAAATGAGCTTTTCGCTGCTAGCAAGCAAAATAAAATAGGTGAAAGCTGTTCCTAGTTCTACGCAGGAAGACCCTGTAATTTGTAGACAAAAATACGCTTTGGCAGTCATTGAACTGAGCAAGGACTCAGTTTTAGTCCATTGTGAAAGTCTTTTTCATAAGTTCAGGGCTGTGTCTGCTAATAGAAAAAGCAGATTTTTAAAGCTTATGAAGGTTATGCGATTCAGTTTAGAGGCCAAGTAATGCTAATAAGATCAGGCAATTGTTTTACACAGTTTGCTCTTCCTGACACAACCTGGGCTCAAACCTGAATCATCAGGATTACACTGACCATTGAGCTACTGCCTGGAGTGAAATGTACTCTATATGGAGTTTTTAAAGTTCAAATTTGTCAATAGCTATGTTTCCATGTGATAAATTATTTGATTGTATTTTTGAATGTATTTGGATATTTGGATGAATGTACCGTTCATATGGGCACAGAATGAATGAATCCAACCTTAACAAGGGTTTACATGCACCAGGTTTTTA